GTACGTACCCCCTCACGCACACACACACACACTCAGGTAGGCAAGAAGGCACGCCCCTCACCAGCACGTGGGCGCCATATATACATGCCGTACGCTCACCTTATCTGCCCTTCAACCATAGAGACTTCCCTCTACCTCTATTTCGTCATCTTATTGCTCATTCTGTCCGTGCAAGAGTTCATTGTTTCGGGGTTAGGAGAGAGGGGAGGGGGGGGGGTAGAGTTATGGGTAGGGAGGTGGTTTGGGGGGAGGGAGGGAATAGGGTCGTTAACTACCTACCCTCTTCGTTCCAGTATAGTCTCTCGTATGTTATGCTAATGGTTGTATTCTATCATATAACCCATATATATTCGGTTTCAACCCTTTTTACCCTGTCGTAGCTCAGTCGATTAAGGCAGTGTCTGGGATGCTCCCGGACGCAGGTTCGAATCCTCGTCACGGCCCTTGTGGATTTGTTCATCATATAACCCTCTTTCACTCTATAGTCAAATCACAATGTTGTTTCTGATAGATAACTACACGCTCCTGTGGCGGTGTGTTCACTCACAGGATGAGTGGCGCTGCCCAGTACTGTCACTATGGCGGTGTGTTCACTCACAGGATGAGTGGCGCTGCCCAATACTGTCACTATGGCGGTGTGTCCACTCACAGGATGAGTGGCGCTGCCCAGTACTGTCACTATGGCGGTGTGTCCACTCACAGGATGAGTGGCGCTGCCCAGTACTGTCACTATGGCGGTGTGTTCACTCACAGGATGAGTGGCGCTGCCCAGTACTGTCACTATGGCGGTGTGTTCACTCACAGGATGAGTGGCGCTGCCCAATACTGTCACTATGGCGGTGTGTCCACTCACAGGATGAGTGGCGCTGCCCAGTACTGTCACTATGGCGGTGTGTCCACTCACAGGATGAGTGGCGCTGCCCAGTACTGTCACTATGGTGGTGTGTTCACTCACAGGATGAGTGGCGCTGCCCAATACTGTCACTATGGTGGTGTGCCCACTCACAGGATGAGTGGCGCTGCCCAATACTGTCACTATGGCAGTGTGTCCACTCACAGGATGAGTGACGCTGCCCAGTACTGTCACCATGGCGGTGTGTCCACTCACAAGATGAGTGACGCTGCCCAATACTGTCACCATGGCGGTGTGTCCACTCACAGGATGAGTGGCGCTGCCCAATACTGTCACTATGGCGGTGTGTCCACTCACAGGATGAGTGACGCTGCCCAGTACTGTCACTATGGCGGTGTGTCCACTCACAGGATGAGTGGCGCTGCCCAATACTGTCACTATGGCGGTGTGTCCACTCACAGGATGAGTGGCGCTGCCCAATACTGTCACTATGGCGGTGTGTCCACTCACAGGATGAGTGACGCTGCCCAATACTGTCACTATGGCGGTGTGTCCACTCACAGGATGAGTGGCGCTGCCCAATACTGTCACCATGGCGGTGTGTCCACTCACAGGATGAGTGACGCTGCCCAATACTGTCACTATGGCGGTGTGTCCACTCACAGGATGAGTGACGCTGCCCAATACTGTCACTATGGCGGTGTGTCTACTCAAGGAAGATTCTGCGGTGGTTAACTGAGAACACAAATAACGCTGCCACTGTTAACGAAGTGTCGTAATACCGATAAATATATACGAATCAGAGTTGGCCAGGTTCGGTATCAGGACCTATCCTATACCTATCCCTTATACAAACCGCAGTCTGACAGCATCAGATTTAAGACCTATTTTATACCTTATTTATGCAAATTATCTCCCAAACTGAACATGAGGACTACACACTCATGACAATTGTAAGAAACTAAAGGAAAACCTCGACAGACTAAAGTCTTTGCAAGTGGCTTCTAGAGTTAAATTCCAGATAGTGCAAGGTAATGAAGTTGGACGCTGTTGACACTAGTTTGGGGGGGGGGACAGTCATGAACTCATTCGTGGCAGTATATCATGTCTATCAGACCAATTTAGGAATATCCGGCGTCAACATAGACTTCATATCTAAGGAACAGTGGAGACATGGTCACCATATACAAAATATTCAATGGAAATGGCTGGTTAGACAACGATTGCATATTTGAACTTGAAATATTTTTACACATTGAGAGTTTCTACTCGTAGAAACCGAGGTTCCTGAAATAATCCCAGGGATGACTGAGACAAATAACTTTTGTGTCGGCATTAGATACGTGGAATGATTTACATAGTGGAATGATGGAGATAGACAATACAGTTCCACACCCACCACACCACACTATACACCACACCACCACACACCACACCACACACCACACATATGGTGTGTTGTATTGTGGTGTGTGGTGTGTGATGGTGTGGATTAGTGGTGTGGTGGTGGTGTGGTTTGGTGTACTCAACAAGGTGAGTACACCACAACACTACCACACCTACGCTACACACACCTGAGGTCTATCCTGCCGCTCCATCACCACTTGAAGTTCAATAAAGACAAAATTTAATATTCTCTACATGTCGACTAGTAAGGCCACGAGTTTTATTACCTCAGATCTTATCAAGGAGGGCTGGCCACAGCCTGAAGAGTGAGTGAGTGAGTGAGTGAGTGAGTGAGTGAGTGAGTGAGTGAGTGAGTGAGTGAGTGAGAAGAGAAGAGAAGAGAGGGCGATTTTTAAATCATTAGTACCAAAACAAATACTTAATTTATTGTCTCTTCAACAAAGTGACAAGACAAGAGACTTTATAGTCACGAGACAAAATAAAAATAGACGTCTCGTATCAGGTCATAACTTTATTTAATCTGTTATTTTGATCTTTGGTGAGGACGGTACTATATTCACCTTTGAGAAGTGCGGTTTAATACTTATCTTACCCGTGCATTAAGCGCGCCACAACAGTTCTTTTGGCTTTGTATTTTCCCCAGAGAGCTGCGAGTATGTGCAAGAAGGGGGGGTGGTTCTTCTTGTGTATTTTCAGCACATATGAATATCTATAGATAATGTGTAGCATTCACATTTCCTTCAGATGCTTGTGTAAATATTTTAATTTGCTCTGTTTACTGGGATATTCAGTTTTGTTTGTATGGGTTTACAGGTTCGTATCTCATCTAGGAATTATGTATTGTGGGACTTTTTCTCTCTTGAGAAGATCTCAGCTCTTGGGCCACCAGCTGGGAGGGAGTCAGGCGTCGTGGAGTAATTGAATTTTTATTATCAGGGGAGAGTGCCAAGCCATTACGGCTATATAGCCCTTTGAAGGGGTCAGGATAAGGATTTGGGATGGGACGGAGGGAAGGAATGGTGGCCTAACTAATGGGACGGTCGGGGGATTGAACGCCGACCTACGGTATCTCCTCTGTTCGTGTTCGTGTGTATATATATATATATTATATATATATATATATATCTATATATATATATATATTATATATATATATATAATATATATATATATATATATATATACACACACAACTTTAGAAACACTTTCCCACCAGGAGACTCGAACCCTAGCCAGCACAGAAGCCTTCCAGCAACTGGCATAACAGGTACGCCTTAACCCACTCCACCACCTGCTCAGATCCTTAAAAGAGATGGTAATTTCGGAGTATTTAACACTCCAAAGACCACCAACCTCCCAAGAGCACTAGAGCAAGTGAGGGGTCATTTAAGGGTCTGAGCAGGTGGTGGAGTGGGTTAAGGCGTACCTGTTATGCCAGTTGCTGGAAGGCTTCTGTGCTGGCTAGGGTTCGAGTCTCCTGGTGGGAAAGTGTTTCTAAAGTTGTATACTTCACTCTCGTGTTTAGGAGAGTTGTGCCTTAAGCATAGACACAGTGTTCTCCCATATTAACAGGGACTTGATGAAAAAACGTAAAAATGACCCCTCACTTGCTCTAGTGCTCTTGGGAGGTGGCGGTCTTTGGAGTGTTAAATACTCCAAAATTACCATCTCTTTTAAGGGTCTGAGCAGGTGGTGGATTGGGTTAAGGCGTACCTGTTATGCCAGTTGCTGGAAGGCTTCTGTGCTGGCTAGGGTTCGAGTCTCCTGGTGGGAAAGTGTTTCTAAAGTTGTATACTTCACTCTCGTGTTTAGGAGAGTTGTGCCTTAAGCATAGACACAGTGTTCTCCATATTAACAGGGACTTGATGAAAAAAACGTAAAAATGACCCCTCACTTGCTCTAGTGCTCTTGGGAGGTGGTGGTCTTTGGAGTGTTAAATACTCCGAAATCACCATCTCTTTTAAGGGTCTGAGCAGGTGGTGGAGTGGGTTAAGGCGTACCTGTTATGCCAGTTGCTGGAGGCTTCTGTGTGGCTAGGGTTCGAGTCTCCTGGTGGGAAAGTGTTTCTAAAGTTGTATACTTCACTCTCGTGTTTAGGAGAGTTGTGCCTTAAGCATAGACACAGTGTTCTCCCATATAACAGGGACTTGATGAAAAAAACGTAAAAATGACCCCTCACTTGCTCTAGTGCTCTTGGGAGGTGGCGGTCTTTGGAGTGTTAAATACTCCAAAATTACCATCTCTTTTAAGGGTCTGAGCAGGTGGTGTGGAGTGGGGTAAGGCGTACCTGTTATGCCAGTTGCTGGAAGGCTTCTGTGCTGGCTAGGGTTCGAGTCTCCTGGTGGGGAAAGTGTTTCTAAAGTTGTATACTTCACTCTCGTGTTTAGGAGAGTTGTGCCTTAAGCATAGACACAGTGTTCTCCCATATTAACAGGGACTTGATGAAAAAAAACGTAAAAAATGGACCCCTCACTTGCTCTAGTGCTCTTGGGAGGTGGTGGTCTTTGGAGTGTTAAATACTCCGAAATCACCATCTCTTTTAAGGGTCTGAGCAGGTGGTGGAGTGGGTTAAGGCGTACCTGTTATGCCAGTTGCTGGAAGGCTTCTGTGCTGGCTAGGGTTCGAGTCTCCTGGTGGGAAAGTGTTTCTAAAGTTGTATACTTCACTCTCGTGTTTAGGAGAGTTGTGCCTTAAGCATAGACACAGTGTTCTCCCATATTAACAGGGACTTGATGAAAAA